GACAGCTACAGCCGGGAGGTGAAAAATAATCCAACATTTTGCTAATCCTTAAACCAATCATCTCACACAACAATGCAGAGCCTTTTAGGTCTACAACTCAATCTCTTAAAGACAGAAAGGCTCCTTCTAGAGACACACCAGGAGTTTGTATTCACAGCTATGCCCTACACAAACATACACAGCCAGACATCACAAAAGACCCCAGGCTTCTTTTATTTCACATTAAATTGTTTTAAAGCACAGGGAATTATAAATCTGCCTATGAAGCAGGAATATACAAACCCGACCAATAACTGGAACTCTAAAACTCAGCCCCACAAACCTTAACAGAAATTATATTCACGAAAAATAATTCAGATTATGCCAATATAAATAAGAAAGGAAAAATAAGGTTGCCTATATTAACCTCAAATTTCTTGAGTTCCTCAAGTTCACAGCATTGCTATGGGGAACAGCTCAAATTTTCTTACATCCTCTGGGAAATCTGGAATTTTGTGGTATGGGAAGGACAACCCCCACTGGGCATCTGGCATCTCTTCTAACTCTGCTCTCTCCTTCCAGTGCTATCACAATGGCCCTTGCCACCTCTCCATACCAGCAAAGGCCTCGTTCCCCTTCCCCTTTATATTGAGTAAGGAAGCCAATGATGCCTTGTCCTCCCATTTTTGCTTCTCAATTCTCTCTCCATCTGTTCCCAAAACTTAACTTTATCCCCTTGGTTTTAACTCTCAGTTTTTTTCATCAAAAGTTAAATGGCAGTGCTTTTGCACTGCTGTGTCCCTATTCAAAGTCACTCATGCACGACAACTTAATGGTGGGAGCAGAGCATCTGGCTAGGCCTTGTCTCAAACACTGACATCCATGTAACCACCAGAGAAGACCAAGGAGGAGATGATCCACTGCTAGCAGCAATCACCTCTCACAGGCAATTGGCCAACGGGGCCCCCAGACCTGCTACAGGCACTTGGAGAAAGCAGGCGGACAACACTGCAGTTCACAGAGCCAGGACCATGTGCTAGGGGGAAGCTGCCAGCCAAGGTCTTATCCCTACAAAAGCTGGCGCAAGGTGGATGGTATTATCCATCTACAGAGGGGGACACTGATTGTACAAGGTCGCAAAGCTACAAAGCGGCAGCACCAAGTGTTCCCACTCAAGTCCATCTGACCCTAGGCCCACGCTCTGCCCGAGGTTACACAACACGACGCTCTCAGAAAGAAGAGCACAAAATACCATGAAGCTGAGCCGCAGACATGTGGTGAGAACCAGATGTACAACTACGCAACTGTTTTCTTTAAAAAAGAAAACTGCACTCAGGTAAGTATTTTTTACTTTTAAATCAACAAACAACCATCTTTCTGGGTAGGGATGTTAGCTCAGGGCTAATCTCCCCCCCGCCCAAAAACGGTGACAAAAACACTCTGTACCCTGAGAGGAGAGTGGGTTACAGGGTGTGTGCATGTGCCCAAAGTGATCAAACTGTTCCTTTAAGATCTGTGCGCTTCACTACATATAAGCTATACCCCAATTTAAAAAATCTGTGTGTACAGATATGTATGTATCTAAATTGACATCTATATGATATACATTAATTATATGTGATATAAACCTGATTAAAAGATAACACTAGTTATTTAGAATCCCAATTTCAACTAAAATCAATTATTTAGTATGAGAGCAGACAGAAGAGAGTTCTTAGTTCCAAACTCCCCAAGTAAGAGTCCTTCAGTCACTGTTCCCTGCCTTCAGCTATTAGCTGTCCCACAAATAGAGTGTCACATCATTGAATAATCTATTTTGTTTTGACAATTTTAATAGAATTCCAAATTTTAAAAAAATCTTTAGGAAATACCACTTAAATTGTGAAGAGCATCCTGATGTAAATGAAAAGAAAATCAAGGTCTCAAATGAGTAAGTTGCCTTCACTCACTGAACTTGTTCCCTAAAGCACGAGAGCTGTGTCAGCCCAAATATCCGTGTGCCTATTAAGATATCTGCATTATTAAATTCTTTCTATTGTTTCAAGAACATGTTTAATAGCAAAAGAGCTTATGAAAAGCAAAATTCAAAAAGTGAGGTTGTAGCTATTATTCTGCCAATTACCAAATTTGCCATCAGTCAAAGCTATTTAAAAAATAGTCTAATGAAAATATTTCAACAGTTTCTCCAAATATGAAATACTTAAACTCATTTTCCTATTTACCAATAGCCTATCTAAGTTGGAGGCAGCTGCTGTGGCGAAAAAGATTTAAAATTCAGTATTTTCTGTCCAATATGAGAACTAAGTTTTTTGTGCTGGTGAGAAATGGGCACCATTAACTCACTCAACAAGGAAGAAAAAAAACAACCTCTCTCTTCATCCTAAAAAAGCACCCACGATCCCAGGACACAAGCTGAGCTTACCTAGAAGCTTGGTGTCCTTGAGAAGATTTAACTTTTTCCTGGTTGGCTAAAGAAAAATATCTTTAGCCCTGTCAAGCAAGCAGTAAGCTCCTTGATTGTACCTTAAAGGGAATGAGAATGTTTCGGCTCATTTGCATTTTAAAGGATGCTCTTTCATGATCTTTCACACTTGTAATAGATGTCTAAACCGTTAAATTACTATTTCTTTTCTTAGCCTGAAAGTCGATGCAGACGAAGAGCGTGGCCTCTTCCATTGTTCTTTACCCTAAGTCGGTCCCTGAACAATACTGACAGCTGCTATCAAACCGGGCGGCATTTCTCTGTGCGCAGCTGCTGCTTGTAGGAACAGACAGCCTCCCGGAGCCTCCTCCCCTCTGGGGAGACAGGTTGACACACTGCATGTTCAATGAAGGGGTGCAAAGGTCCACTGAATTGTCAACCCAATTTTATGCTACTTCGATTTTCCAGGACGCGCACAATTGCTTTCAGGCAAAAATCAGGCATATGCCAGAGCATGAAACTTATGGTGCGGGATAATTATTGATCACCACAAACTTTAAAAGAGCCCTCTGACATAAATTAATATACCGATCCAAAAACTACAATTATAAAAACCGCACATGCCAGGATGCTGAAGACATGCAACTGGCGGTAAGTCTGGTGCTGGGCCCGATTCACGGATGTGGGTTATTGTTGCTAGCTATCAGAGCTAATCTGCCTTTATAATCTCAACAACATGTTTCCTGGACGCAAGCCATTCATAAAAGTAGTGATTCATCGGCCCTTCTAAAACGACCTGCTATTTTTATTTTCCGATTCAACTCAAGATAAGTATTACCTATAAACATCGAGTTAACACAATTTCCTTTCTAATGTGTAGGACTGGGCAGTGCCTTTGAGAATCTAAAAGTACCAGAGTTTCACCATCAAGAAATGATATGTAAAAATTTAGAGCCTAGCAGAAAACAAACATGTTCCACCAAGTTGAACTGGGTCCTTGAGAACTGCTTTGCATATGTTTCCTTTTAATCAAAACAGGCTTTTCCATCCTCATTCATTTGGGTTAAAAAATTCTGCGCTCGAGCTACAAGTACAATTTGCTATTAGTCTTTGCTAATCAAACACGGTACATGCAAAAGCACCAGTGAATATTTGATTTGATCTCTGAAATAAAGCAATTCATTACACAAGAAAAGGGTACAGAAAGCAGCCGACAAATGCAGATGTAATTGTGTTTTTTGTTGAATGTGATTAGAGAGCCCACTAAGTAACAGTCAAAAATGTGATACTAAAGGGGGAGAGATGCAGAGCCTGGATCCGGGGAAAGGGGGAGGAGGAGAGAATTGTTTATGCAGAGCTAAGCTGTCAAGTGTAATAAAGCAGCTTGAATAAAATTTAAGCTGAAAATCCACTGAAGCTCCCCATTTCAGGGAGGAAAAAGCTATTAAAAGGAAATGAAGGTCACCCTCCCAGTTTATTTCACCTAATTGACTGCCAATAGCTTACCACAGGCAACCCAACTGAGGATATGCAATTGAGAAACTGATGAAAGGAGAGTTTTCAAGCTGAGGCTCATTCTTTAATCCTCCTTGGCTCTTATGTTTTTTCTCCATCTCCAGTTGGGATGTAATTTTAAACCCTGATGGATTAACTGGTTCCATTGTCTGTGGCCGTCATTGGACTATGGCACTCTTAATCCGTACAGCAGCATGTCTAATTATCATTACAAAGTGTCTGAGGGAACTATAAAGACCAGCAGGGCATCTTCTCACAAGCAATTAACATAAATTGATAAATGAGTGATTTGAATCCGCTCAAGGCACTCACATATGAATAAAATCAGAAAGGACGGTCCCTTGTTTCAGCTACTTCTTTTGCTCAGTGTGGAAGGACAGAAAACATGAGAAACGTCCCGGAACCTGCAGCGGGGGGATGAACTCACACAGCGGAGGGACCGCACGGTTCACCAGCCTCATTAATGCAAAGCAAATGACTTGTGATTGACAACCAGTTGCTAGCAAAGAGCACTAACTGAATTTGACACAAGAGGGCAGAAACCTGGTGAAAGGCTGGAGGGGGCAGCAGGGCAGACAACCATCACTCCTTCCACAGCAAGAGAGCATGCTTTTCACTGGTGTGCCATTTAAAAATTCAAGCAAGAGGCCCAAGAAAGAGAAAGAGCAGTTATATCGGTTCTAAAACTCTAGAAAGCAAAAGGCAAAAGCAAAGATAACTAAATGCAATGAACATTCGGAGACCTGCCTTGACCTCACTGTGATCTAAAGTTACAAGGCAGGAGTAAGGAAAGTATTTAAAACTCTAACCCAAAGCTTTTACCTGACTAATGGAGCAAGGGACGTTTAAGTCTCACCAGACAAATGACATTTATTTTCCCATTAAAAAGTAGATTTTTCTTCCCCTCCTAAAAATGTTTCCTATCATCTTCTTTATGCTAATTTCTCTTCCCCTAAACACCTCAGCATACCCGACACCCCCTCCGCCCACCCTTATCAAAAAAGTCAGTGTGAAACTACACAACATTATAGAGAATAGAGATTAGCCATCACATTAATAAGAAATGAAAGCTGGTTATACACACTGTAGGAGGTAGACCTGGTAGGCCACGTACCCCGATGATGGCATTCAACTCTGCCATGGTCACCTGTTTGGCACGTTCGACAGCCTGGGCCACCTGTTGTTGATGCTTTGAAAACAAGAAGAAAAAAGTGTTAGCAAGATGGCTAAGAACCTCACTGTACCTTCCAACAACAACAAAAAGACAAATGCCACATGCAGTGCAGACTGAAGTATAACATGGATTTAAACGCGAAGTTTCTGGAGCACACGTTATTTCAGAGAACACATGCACGACGGGAAAAGGAAAACACCGCGGTGCTCCCCTCGTTTCTAACCAAGCCCAGCCGACACTGAACTCTGATGGGGATGCTTGGCTTGTCAAATGTCAAATGTCAAAAAGGACACTAAAAATGGTAAGCTGAGGCCTTAGAAAATAAATAGTACGGAATCTGGAAAGTCACTCTGGTTCGCAGGAGGGGTTCGCTGTGGTAAGTCTGAGGGCAGGTAAAAGTTGACAGCCATTTTAAAACCCCCATTTTGATACTTAAAATGTAAATATTAAATCTGTGATGACTTCTCTGGTCAACAAATCTCCATGCACCAGTAGTTTTTGGAAACTCTAGGAATTCCTCTCCTTTGGCCTTTAGATTTTTCACCCTTCACAGGGGAAAGAAAGGAAGGAGCCCCCCCAAGAGACACATACACACACTGAGTTCAAAGGCTGTAAACTGACTGCACAGCTCCCAATTCCACTCACAATAAAAACTAAACCACACCTTTGCTTTGGGAGGCGTGAGTCTATAGCAGAGACCAGGATTACTGAAGTTTAACAAACACCACAATTTCAAAAGGCCAACAACTCTAAATTGGGACATCAAACAAATGTTATGCCAGATATGGTTGGTAATAAAGGTAGAGATGGTGCTATCCAGCATGGACCAGTCGGTGCCAACTAGAACAGACACTCAGTACTCCAGCTCCCAGGGCAATGAGCTTTTCACTCTGCCTCAAGATATATGCTTCCTGTACACACTTAAAACACAGCTGAGCATCCATTCGCTTGTATCCAAAAGCAAGATAAACTTTAAGTGAAAACTAAAATACATTGGATTTGAGTCAATTTCATAGATTACTCATATAAAGAGCTTTTCCCTCTCAAAATATGAAGGTTAAACCTCTATGATTTTGTAACTTAATAAATTATAGATGTAAATGACTCCATAAGTTAGGGTAACGAACACTTTTTTCATCCTTAAGAATTAGTAGCATCCACTCCGTCCATGGACAGTGTCAAGTCAACCTGACTAGACGTGCATGAACAAATGAACAGCTGCTGCCATGGTCAAGTCAAAACCCTGATGGAACCATTTTTAAAATGCAGTATAAGAAAAGCTCTCTAGAGAAAGGACACTGGAATCACCAGCAACTATTAAGCCTATACTATTCCTCAAAGAAAAGAAAAGCTTTATGCTTGATAGTCATTTTGCAGGTTTCCTCAGAAAAAAATTAATTTGAGGTTGAGCTCCTGTCACCACTTCTACAGCGTGCCCTCGGATCTGTTAGATGGAATCACAGGGGGTTTACACACTTCAGCTGTAACAGATGTTCTTCACACTTGTTCCTTGTGATAAAATTAACATCTTAAAACTAGCTAATTTGCAAACAGAGAAGCAACATAATTGCACTTTAACAGCTGAACAGTTTTACTTACTTCCTGAGACAGAAATGGGATGACTTGTGCACAAATTGTATTCAATCTCTTGGCGATTTCAGTCTATAAAGACAAAGCCATATAAATGTTTAGCATACTTCATAATCAGTTCAGAAAGATAAAACTTCATGCCCGACACTTCAGCCTTCCACTACTTCAATCTGGAGAGCATAAAATCGCTTTCCCAGGCTATGTTACTAATATTTATCTTGAGATAAACAGTAGATATTAATCCCACTTGCAAAGTAAGACATAATCACATTCTTTATTGGTCACTTAAATTAAGAGATAATGGGTAATTTAACTGAGTTGGAAAATCTACGTGGTTTAAGGCTATATGACCATCTAACCTGGTGATTGCAAACCCTTTCATATAGTTATTCAATTATGGTGTACCACGGCACATTTACGTAGTTACAGCAAGTTCATTCAAACTGGTGTCAGAAACCAGTGGAGCAGTCTAACTTTCAAGATAAGGTCTACAGTGAGAGCAGAAGAAAGGAGCCCATGGACCTCCTTCCCATGTGTCCCCTTACAAAATTCAAACAGGACTTTAATGTTAGTAGCCTTCAGTAAGCTTCAAAATTTCACACACACCAAGAAAACACTGAGGAAACAGAACCCAGGTCCAGAGCGACGGTCAAGTCGAGATGTGCTGGGTATTTGTAAAGTTTCACCACAATTCAGCATCAAACGGGAAGACCTCACTGAAGGTTCAGTTGAACACAAGACATGTGCTGAGTGTGTGCGGCACACGCTGCTCTAAAGAAAGGAAGCGAAGTCCCTGCTCAGCTCCAGATCCACAGCAGTCCCTCTGCTACAAGGGGCAAACTGGTAAGGAGGGAATAAAGGCTGCTCTGCCTCCAGCCTGAGTAGGAGCCACCTGCCGGCCCTCCCCACCACCCGCCCCACTTCCAACACCCTACAGCAATGCAAAACAGCTCTGCATTCCTCTAACTCCGAAGAACCAGTTCTGCTTTAAAAGAAAAAAGGAAGTCATCTGAAAAGAGTCCCAGCATTGACCTTATTTATTTCATCATCTTCTGTCAATGCTTACTAATGCCACCTCTATTACTGAATTAGGCAATGAAAGGGATCATGAGAAGAAAATTATGAAGTGCACAGCCCACAGCCTTGAGAAATAGAGAATATAAGTAAGATAAAGCAGAAACTTCAGGAAGTGTATAATCACGTGCATTTAAAAAGCTGCCTTTTGTCCTCTGAGATGACTCCAGTTAACTGAGAAACAAGGCCTTTGGTTTTATGGGATTGGATTTAGGCCAACCCAACTCGATTCTCCCTGACCACCAATGGGTTACAGTCATGACCTGGAAGAAATGTAGTAGAGTAGAAGGAAATGACTGGTATAAGAGAGCAAACCCATGACCTTGCTTTAACCAGTGGGGCAAGAAGATACATGCAAAAAGGGTGCAGCTGTACCAGGTGCAAAACCAGAACTGGGTCAGCCCCACCCAGTTCATTTGATCACAGCCACCCACTCAAGCTAACTCAAGGTCATGGCTCTCCTCGAAAGCAGGCTTCCCTCTCCTTTGCAACAGGATTCTGCATTATACATTTGGGTACAGGAGCAGGGATGCCCTTTATGGACTCTTTTGGTCCTTGTTTCCCACTCTCTACACACGATACATTCCAACAGCATTCTGACCTTTCTCTTTCTCCAAAATTCACACTTAAGGTTTTCCACTTTTGAAAATATCTGCTTATTTTCAGCACACCACAAGCAGACACAGAGATGTATATATAAAAATATAAAAGCAAGTTAAAATAACCCTAAGTCCATCATCCAGGGATAACCATGAGTAACATTTTGGTGATTCTGGGAAACATCATTCTAGGCTCTCCTAACGTATGTATGCAGAAACCCAGAGTGGAGAAAGACACTTTTAATACCAAGGGGTCCCATTACATATACCGCTTTTCCTATAATTTGTTATTTCCACTCAAAAAATGTGTCATGGGCACCCTCCCACTCAAGAAATAGATATGAATAAGAACATCATCAATATATTCCACTACCCAGGCATACTGGTGTTTAAGCACTCCCCATACCTGTGGATACTTTTCATCTAATTTTCCACAATAACAAACTGTGTCGAATAGCCCTCTTCATAGATCTCTAAAAGCAATCCCTAGAGTGAAATGGCCAGGTCAAAATATATGCATATTCTATATTGTAACGCATGCCATTAACTGCCCAGCAGAGAAGCTCACCACTTTACTCGAGCCCCAGTCTATGAGGGTGGCTGCTCTCCCACCCAGTGTCAATATTAGGTTTTCTTGACCTTTTTTGTAATCTTTATCCATCTAACAGATTAAAAAATGACCTTTTATTTGCATTGCTTGGATTCTTCCTGAAGTTAAACATCTTTTCATATATTTATTGGCCCACCGTATTTTTTCTTTTATTTTTCTTTGAGTATTTATTCATCATTGTCTTTTTGTAGCAGTTCTTTCCATGACAAACATTGATTTTTTTCCCCATAGTTTTTCCAGCTTGCCACCTGCCTTTCAACTTTGCTTACTATGGATTTTTTGCTGTGAGTAACTTTTATGTGGTCAAACTAAAGAACATTCTTCTTATGTTCCTGGCCTTTGGGTCAGGATTAGAACACCCCAAAACTACAGAAGCCGTTCTTAATTTTCTTCTAGTGCTGCTATGGCTGTACTTTCTATACTTAATTACTTGACCTGGAGGGAATTTATTTTGGTTTAAGAAGACAAGATGATCTCCTCTTTAATTATTAATAATAATTGTATGTGTTAGTACATAGAACGACTTCAAGGCAGAACTGAACTTAGCTGTCAGGGGACAGTTAAGACCCAGTGTGAATGGAATGAACTCGTAAACCTTTAATAACATTAAAATTATTAAAAACAAAATAAAAGAAGTACAGACAACATAAATCAGGTTAGAGTAGGTAACACTGGAACAGGAAGAAAGTTAAAGATCAAAGCTCAAGCTGAAGAAGGAGCATCAAAAGCCCTCCCATTTGTCCTGGGAATTCTAAGTCACTGGTCTGAAGAAACGGAAGTAAGAACAGAGGAGGATCTTGTTCCCGCTGTCTCCTACCTCAGCCAGGTCTCTAAACCCTAATCTTAAGCTATCCTCTGACAAGTGAGCTTGGCTTTGAGCCAGGAAGCCTAAATTCAAGTCTCACCTCTGGTTTACCATGAAAGTCTCCACGTTGCTCTGGCTTCTCAATGACAAGTACCTCCTGGCAGTGTGGGCATGCAACTGGTTTCCCCGGGAGCGCTGTGTGAATTCCAAAACATCGCCACCCCCCAGGAAGACTTCCTAAACAGTTGTCCTCAGCCTTGAAAGTCGTCTAGATGGCAGCATAAAAACCTACAATCATTCTTTAGTATCACGTCTCTCTTTCAAAATTGTGATAAGACCTTTAATCGAGCACAAATTAACAAATCGCAATGTTTTCCACTGTCCTTCTGTTACAGACCAGAGTTTACAAGCAGGTTACACTGGATATTTTACCCTGCTTAAGTAGCTATTAAGAAAGTTCTGGAACCTTTTCAGACTACCTTCTTCCTCTTCCGAAGGCTAGACAACTCCAAAAAAAAAAAAAACTTCAGGCTCACTGTATTTTCTGCTTAGAAATCATTTTACTTCCCCAAATAAAGACATATTTGGTACCTGCTAATAGCCTTAATATTTATAAATAAACTTTTCCTGTGCCCTTATTTCTGACACCAGAGAAGGCAACAACAGTCAGCGCTCCCCAAACCAGATGAGCACGGAACATTCGTGCCCAGAAACTTAACTAGCTGGGTAAAAGCCCCAGTATCAGGCCTGACTTCACGGATAGCCACCACTGACTGAGGCAACAGGAAGCAGGAGTCCAAATTAACTGTCCAGACCATCTTTTCATTCTCCTTGTCAATGCCAACTCCTCTCACTGATCTGCTTATGATAACAGAGTTGGCACTCATAATCCAAAAACATAGGTTTGCATCTCAGCAAAGTGGTACTAGGGGTTCTTAGTTAAGTCACTTCAACTGCTGGGGCCCAAGTCTGCTATCACCAATCAACTTCAGTGTTCATCACATTCAAGTAAGCCAACATGTCAACTACAGCTATAGTATTGCAAAGTGCCATACTCTCCTCCCAGTGCTTCGAGGCCTGCCTCAAATCCACTTAGAAGCTGCCCTTCCCTGTAACTCCAATAGACAAACGCTCCTCTAGGCCCTCCAAGATCCTCCAAAGCACCTCCTGTCATTTGGTAAACTAAACCTATACGTTTAAAATCACATCTTACATGAAGCTGCTGCACAGTTTCCTAACAGCTTCCAGCACAGGAGTCTTCAACAAAACAAGACAGGAAGCATGAGAGCCAGACTCTCGCTAACCCCTTGCACACAGCTCCTTGCCAAAGAAACTGACTTCCCCCAATGAAAGTGACCACAGGGGACACAGTCGTCACACTTGCAAAGGAATGCTTCACTGAACTAAAATGGTAACCCTGCACACCCTTAACTCGATGACCAAGACGCAGCCAGACACATGGCTACTAAAAGTGTTAGAATACGGCTCTGTTTAGTGAGAAATCATATCTTAGTAGGTTTAAGATTCATGTACAGGTATATTTTAACCAAGTAAAATATGGTCAAATACCTCAAAGGCCAGCAACGAGCCAAACCCCGCTGTATTCTGCAGGGCTCTTAAACTGAAGACGTTCCTCTAGGCATCAGAACTTAAGTTTCAGAATTTCATGATTCTGAAAAGCACGACTCCCCATCTTTTCATACTCCTTACACCTTGTCTAATTACTAGACTGAACAGCCCACTCCCCAGTGTCTGCCCACTTTTCCACTACACACAGAGTAATATATAATGAGTGTTGTTTGAAGCTCAAAACAGGGCGAGGACGGCTTACGAGTAATTGCCCACCGTCTCAAAGCAATCCAATGGCACCTTGCCCAAAGTCGGCTTAGGGAGGGGAAACTCCACCACCATTAAATTGCAAATTGATGGATCATAAAAAGCGCTACTTATGCTGAGGGCTGGCAAACTAATCTTTTGGTTTCCG